TGTCCCTAAAAAGCTTAAAACTTAATTTTGTACATAAAATTGTAAAACCTCTTCAAAATAAAGATATAGACTGATATATAGAAGGAAAAATAATTTTGAATGTGGCGGTGCGTGGAGGAAGCAATAGCCATTAGAAAAGGGTGCGTATCTCTGCAAAAAATCAATAGTTCTCCATCTGCAGCTCGCAAACCCCTTTTTGGCACAACAAACGAATTTTTACGAGGCAACGACCACTTTCCCGACTTTTGCCAGGGCAACAGCCCGGAAAGGGGATTGGAGAACGCGTGGCGAAAAGGGCGCGCCGCCATTGGCGACACATTTGAAACGGCACCAATTCCGAGTTGAATAAAATAAATTCTATTTGCCGTCGTTGGCCCTGCCCCTAGCGAGGCCGGTTCGCCAATGACGCAATCAAATGGGGCGCGCACATTTCCATTTCCATTGCCAATCCGACTGTAGAATTGTTTTGTGCGACTGTGAGTGCGCCTGCGAGCGCTGGCGCTGCAACCCGCGCCACACCCATTCAGACAAATGCAGAGCCCAACCGACGAGAATAATTCCCGGGGCTCGCTCGGAGACATACAAACTTGCAATACTCGCAGGCGGAGCTGACTCTCTTTTCTCTCTGTATCTTTGCCCGGGCGAGGTGAGGGAGGGGTTGGTTCGCTGCTCTCGCTCTGCAGAAATCGGCGCCACTTCAACCCCCACAAACGGAATCATTTCAGATTGCCTTCCTTCTCCTGCAGCCGCTGCTTTTCCAGCAGCTGCCCCTGATGTGCTTTTCTGCCCCTACTGCTGCTCCAGCGTTTTTGCTGCCCCTGGGTTCCATTTTTTACACCCCCAAGATTTAATTAATATTGAGCGTTTATTGCATAACGGGACTTGAAAGTTTGTCAAGCAATTCATGGAAATTTTCTAATATTTCAAAGATTTCCCTTCTTTGATCAGAGCTCGCCAATATTTGATTTATTGAAGGTTGGTGCGGTGCTTTTAAAGTGGAGCTACCGCTCCACGTCCACGACCGTCTTCCACAGCTTCTCAGGTCACAAGAAAAACAATAATATAATGCTGGTGCCGAGGCCGAGTGCCAATCAATACGGACCTGCGTGAAGACGACTTCAGTTTGCTCTCTCCCTCCCTATCTCCACGTAGTCTTGCTGCGATAGCCAACAAATTAAACTTTTCTTATATTTGCTGAGTAAACAAATTAATATACAATAAAAAGATGCACAATTATTTTGCTACATTTTTTATTACTCCGATTCAATTCAAGGAATTTTTAATTAAATGGACATTTTTTACATATTATTAGCTAAATTTAATAAAACTGTTTTCGAGTGGCAGTAAGAAAAATTACAAATATTTGACTCAAAATTAATGCAGCATTGGCGAGAATTATAGCTTTGAACCTCCAATCACCAGCAGGAAGCAAAAGAGGAGAACGAAAAATATGATTGGAGAACGTTAGTGTGACTCACTTGGTGCTGGTGCGCGCGAGGAGAATGAAACGGAATTGACAAAAGGACACAAAAATGGGTCGATACCGCTGAGTTTGAATGCCGGAGAGTTGGGTTTGGCTCCGGCAATTCATCTGCTGCAGCGGCAGCACCTGCTGTGGTCTCTGCGCGATATCTCTGCAGAAGCGCAGAGCAGAAAGATTATTTTCCTCAGCAGAAGCCCAACTGACCACCATACTGGTCTTAAATTAAATGGCACATTTCTTCAGCAATAGTCGATCTAATTTCATGGAAAAACTAAAATACAGTTTTGGTAAAGTGATTGAAAAAAGAACTTATTTTAAAAGTTTCAATTATTTGCACCATTCGCTCTTTTTCTGCGTCGCTGTCGAATTAATCAACAGCAAAGGTACCACTTGAACAAACCTCATTATTATTGCTAAATAATTGTTAATTGAGTGGAAATTCAATTAACAATAATGTGGCAGTTCTGTGGCACTAGAAAGACAGAAAATATAAGTAAAGGTCATTATTGTTTAGGCTACCGACATAAATAACAAAATTTCCGCAAATTTTAAACCCTCAGGGAAAGTTTTAATTTATTTTTTATTACAATTTTATTTTTTTAATTCTTTTTTTACAAGTTGCTTCAAATTTGAAATTTCAAAATTTTCCCACTATCAATTTTTCTTTAAATATGGTGACCATATAACTGATGGCGCTATAGATTATACACACCTTGATGATTTTTTTTTTTACAGATCCCTTTCATGTCAAAAGAATAAAAATACAATTTTTACTAAGTTTTCTCTAATTTTTTGCCAATTTGGCTTATTTTTGGACTTTCAAAGTACAAGAATGAATTTGCCCCTGCCGGTCTTCATCAAAGTTCATTTTCCTTTTTCACAAAACGTTCTCCGCTTCAAAACTCCAGACCAACTCAGTGGCTGTCGACAAGCGAAGAAAACCACATCCTTGTAATGAATGCAACAGTTTAGCATTAGAGGTCATGCGTGCTGCATACTTCCAGCTACAGAGGTGTTGCTGTGATGGAAAACACAAAACAGCAGCCTTCCCATGCTCTACTTTTAAACTCTAACAACACGCAAATATTTCTTGGTATACTAAATACCTCTCTTTTGACTATGATTTCCTGTAGTAACAGCACCTCGTAATAATTAAGAAAAACAAAATAAGTCGGACCATGTCGTTGGTAAATTGTAGGATTGCAGGAACATTTTGCTAATTTGCAATTTATCAATTTAATTGCTTTGAAACAGTTTAATATATTTCCAAAAAATTAAAAATCTCCACTTTAGAGGTTTGTGTAATAATTAATAAAATATTTAGCCTCCAGCCAAACTAACAATAATTAAAATTTACAGAAGCCGCTTATTATTAATTCATTAAATATAAAGCTTTTTTTGTTATTTAAATAAATTATTAATTGCTGATAGTAATAATGTATGCCATCTGATGCAAAACCTTTAAAATTAAGCTCTTTTAAGCTTTCTGCAAAATATTGATCCGGCGGCTCATCTTATAATATTTATCGCGCAATACTTGCCGGTTCAAAATTTAATTTTATGCATCCGTCTTAACGAAGATTCTCTCCCCACACGCGCATCACAACAAATTATTTACCAAACAAGGGTAAAAGGAGCAAAAGACGACCGGCGGGGGTGCGGCTGATGGGGTGGTTAGGCAGGCGGTACGTGTGCTTAAGACAGAGCGAGAGCTAAAGTTGGAATTCGTCAATATGATATAACACACACAAAATGCGCATCTCGGCTCCTCGACATACCTCGCACACATCCATATACACATGAAATATGTACAGAGTGAAATTGCAGAAGACAAGTTGCGTCTTCATCTCTCGATCGGCAACGGTAAAGGGGTGGATTTTGAGCGGCGGAGGGTTGAAAAAGCAGCCGGAATGCATCGCTAAGCTTGACGTGTGTAGTGCGGGAAGCTGCTTGCGCACGTAGCCACGCCGAAAACCGGAACCTGCTCAAAGATGAGTAGATTGCATTAAAATAGCCGCGCCGCCGAGTATGCAAATGAGCAAATTATTATTTCGTGGCCCGGCGGTGGAGCTGCTTTCTTGAATAATGCTCCGTTTTGAGCCATTTGCATCTGACTGAGGAAGCACAATCAAAATGCTAACTGCCGAAAATTTCGTCTCGCCGGGTCCATTTCACTGTAGGCTTTCGCCGTTTTGCATTTTTATTTTTTCAATGCCAGGCGTTGTGAATGAATGACCAAAACATCCGTTGCGCATTGACGGGCGAGCCTTTTTTCCTAATCTCTGCGATGTCATCTAATAAGTTAGCAGCTTTCTGCGACTTAAAATGCGAATATAATATCTTCTTTAAAAATAAAAAATAATTTAATGTTTCTTCAATTTCTTCGCCTTAATGAATATGTGTCGTTTTTGTTCTCAAAATGATCATCCTCCAATAAAAAATTAATATAATATACGACATACGACTATATTTACAATTTCTTTTTGGTTGGAGTGAATGACCTGTAAAATTTTGGCTTCGCTCGTCACTCAACCCAAAAGATTCTAGGAAACTGTTGATTATTTTCTGTTGGAGTGAATAACCTGTAAAAAGTTGCCTTCGGTCGTTTTAGCCAAAAATATTCAAGGAAGCTGTTGATTATCTTCTTTGAAATAATCAAGGAAAATTTTTAATGTTAATTTCAAGGATGAAGAAATTTCATCTGTTCAAAACTTATTTCGTGTTTTCACTTTAAACATATAGGCTTCTCTAATTTATTCCTATTCGAAAATCTAGGACTACTTGTACGACATTTGCATAACAACAGAAGCGACAAACATCCATTTGGGCGTGTTAACTTAAAGTTTATTGATTACCGGTACTTTTGTTGGCAGTTGACAGCGCTGCAGTTGAGTATGATGAATGCCATAGTATGTTACCTTCCGCCACTCAACAAAATGTTGAGAAGTATTTTTCACTGGCCCTCTTCCTCAATGTATTGATTAATTTGCGTAATTTTCTATTCCATTAATATTCAACCATGTTAGCCTCAAGTCATCGCGTTTTAATTTTCTCTTTAGTAAGCCTAAAAATGTAGAAATAAAACATTTTTTAATTTGCTGTAGATCAAATATAAGATAATGAAATCAATAATCTTATTTCAATTATTTTGAATTAATTAATTTTTTTTGCTCACAATTTCATGGACTTAAAAAAAAAAAATAAATCAAAGATATTTATTTCTATTATGAAAAAATAACAGTGAAATAAAAAAAAACCGCGGAAAATTTGTTTGAAGAAATTTATTTATAAGATTTTAATAATTCTTTTATTTGCGACTAGAGATTTGTAAACTTAAAAGCGTGGCAAAATGTGCAATATTTTGCATTATAATAATTTATTATTTAATGTTTACAAGTGACTCCTACGTGTTAGCAAGGTATCTTTTTAAATGCAAATCAATGGCATAACTAACACAAACACACCATTACGTGAAGATGGTATCTGGACATAACGTCCACTAACACACTTCTTGTAGGTTACGAAATAGGTGGTTGTGAATGTGAATGGATGAAATGAGAAACAACTCGGAGGAAGAGAGAGATAGTCCTTCACCTAAAACGAGGGGGGTCACCTCACCTACAAAAGAGATCCACCACACTCTTTTTCCTCGCGTCTCCTCATTTGCATTTGAGCAGAAGAACTAGAAGTCTAGATTGTTGTGTCAAAATGTTGACTGGGTCAGTAAATGGTTATCAGAAGAGAGGTAAATGGGAGGAGGAGTCAGTTCTTGGCTTTTTGTCATTAAACCGGTATATAAAAATCTGTTTCGCTGACCACCAACTAGTCATTCGTCAACTTTTTGAGCTACGCTCATCAACAGCTCAAAACGCTGCAGGAGTAGCCCTTAGACAACATATCATCAAGTGACCCTAACGCTACTGCAACTTTGGGGATACTTTATTCCCGCGCTTATATTTTAAGCAATTCAGTTTGGAAGAAATACTTTTCCTTCAAAAACGTAAGTGAATTTTAATTAATTTCCAACGTCAAAATCTGACATTATAGTAACACAATTAGTATACATCTCACTAAATTTCTTACTACTTTTTAAAATCTAACATCCTGATCCCTTCATTAAGAAAATTTGGGTTAAATTAATTTTGTGCATACTCTATAAATTAATTTTGACACTGTAAATTGGAATAAAAAAGTTTTAATTTGGTTATTTGTAATTAATTTTATTTCACTAAAAAAATATGTTTATGTTCAAATTTAGAGATATGGGAATTTTGATAACATAATTATTTTATTCAATGATTTATTATATAAGTTCATGGTTACATTTACTTTGAATTTTTAAACTCTGGAAAAGATTTGAGAACAATTCTATGAAATTTCTAAAATTATTAAATTAATAACTGGTTTTATTAAACAAATAATAATGAAAAAAATGATCATTATAAACACGTGCTTTTGTGTGCACTTTTTTGATAAGCAGGGAATCTGTTTCAGGCATTTATTAAAATAATTTATTAAATAATTATTTCGTTCATTTATTTCAGACGGAAAATTTTAAGATGAACCGAGCGCAATTGTACTCGTCCGCAAACGCACTGCAAACACGGGACGCAGCAGCGGCATTGTCCCTGTACTGCGACGTCATGTCCTGGCCTGAGGAGTGTTTCGTCCTGGACGTGGGTTGTGGCAGCGGCGATGTGACCAGTAAACTGCTCCTGCCAGCTCTCAAACGGTGCAGCACCGTTACCGCCGTCGACGTCTCACCCTCAATGGTCAAATTCGCCGCCTCCAAACATCAGCACCCTAATTTGAATTTCCGCTGCCTGGACATCGTCGCCCCCGACCTCCGACCGCGCGCAATTTTTCCCACTGGCTTCCACAAAATTTTCTCCTTTTACTGTCTCCACTGGATTAGCAACCAGAGGTAAGATAATTATTATTTTTAATCTAATTTTAAATAATTTCGTAATAATGTGCCTGAAATTTTAATTCTTTGTATGTTAATTTTATTTTTTATTTTTTCCAGACAAGCATTCTCCAACATGTTTGATTTACTTCTTCCTGGTGGTGAGCTGCTCGTTGTTTTCTTAGCAAGCAATCCAATTTTCACCGTTTATGAAAGACTATCTCAAGATTCCAATTGGTCTCGCTATATGAAGGTGAGAATAATTATTAATTAATGTTTCAGTTTGAAACTGTTCTACGTTATTTTGCACATTTATTGAAATTATAAGCAAATACAAATTTCTCTTTGGTGTAAGTTTTCTTTAAATTTTTTCTTTTAATTTCAGGATGCATCAAAATTTGTTTCACCGTACCAACATTCTGACCGCCCAGACGACGATCTCCGTGATCATTTGGACATGTCCGGTTTCACAATTAAGGATTGCAACTGCCTTCTACAACATTTTGCGTTTCCATCCGTAAACGCACTTAAAAGTAAGTTTTATTAAAATAAATTATAAGGGTTCAATTTTCGTCGCGTGACGGGCAAAAGAAATTTATTCAAAAAGTGGGCTGGAGATGCTGGGGTTCGAACCCAGGACTTTCTGCATGCGAAGCAGACACTCTACCACTGAGTTACATCCCCGGTGATCCAGTGGAGGCCTCTCAATGCTTTATAAAGTCAGACAGCGTTCTCCGCGCGGCAGAAAATAGAACTAACGCATCGTGCCAAAAATCCTAAACTGGCGCGAAAAAATTTTAATTTTGCTTTAATTTTTCTTTTCAGGCGCAATTAAAGCTGTCAACCCGTTTATTGATCGGATACCAAAAGAAATGCACGAAGACTACCTAAACGACTGTATCGATGAGTTTAATGACATGGGATGCGTCAATGATGACGGCACAGTGTCTGCTGATTACAGACTTTTGGTTGCTTTTGCCAAAAAATCAAAATGAATAACATCATAAGAGGCCGAAAAACTGCTTGTAATTTATTTTTTGTATGTTCAAGATTTAATCTTTAAATATAAGATAGAAGTTTGCACTAAACTTTAAGCTCACAAATTTATAATAAAAGAAGTAAATTTCAAAAATATTTCAAAATTTTGTTTGTTTTCTTTCGCAATAACGTGTTAAATATTTTATTAAATTTTATGCTTATATAATATTTAATTATAAAATATATAATTGGATTTTTAAGTACTATAAAAAGTGATAAATAGAAGAACAAAATATTTATTAAACAAAATATAAATTATTTAAAGCCACCTGATCGAGGCATGGGTTTTTTTCCCCTCCTTTTACTATACAATTATTTTTGAAGTTTTTTGTACTTTTTAGTACAATTCACACTCATGTATTATGTACTACATATGTACATAAGAATGACGCGATGAGGAACCACACCCGATGAGCAATGCGGGCGCCTGCAGGGCACCCAGAAGCAATTTTATTTATTTTTGCACTCTGGACATATGAACGATGCAACAACAGTCTGACGCACACGGCACCATACAGTGTTCAACCACGACAGCCACTTTTGACTAATCTTGTCTTGTTCGGCTAATCAGCGTGCGGCTAGTAATTTTGGCATTTTGATGACGTCATTGTTTACAAATATCCTTTTCTACCGGTTTTTGTCATTCTACTTTAGAATACCGGTTTTTAAATTAAAATTTCGTTGAGCTATCAATGCTAAAAAAGTTCCATTGCGGAAATTACCGGTAACCGGTTGTGCATGAGTTTGGTAGGAAAACGGAAAACATCCTAACACAACTGAACCTCAACGCTAGAAAGGAGATAAAGACAATTTTGACGTCAACCTTTGCCGGTTTTAACCACTGAACAATTATCTTAGATAATATATTATTGATATAATCAAGCAATCTTTGCTTGCCGCGACACATTGCGACTCCATTTCAAAGTCCTAAGTTGCTGAAAAATGGCATATCCTGGAGGAGCACCGGTTAGTATTAGTTGTGATTAAATTATTAATAATTTTGAACTTTAAACTGAGCTATGTACTCTAAGTTATCAAAGGAATTAAATTGCTCCATTTTGTTTCTAGAGTTGTTCTAAATCATTTGAAAAATGTTTATTTGTATTACAAGAATAATAATTTAACGAAAAATTTGGGGCTTTTCTTGATGGTCTATTCCACGACGTTTTTAATAATCTGTTTAAAAAAATGTGTATGCTTTGGCTGCTGGAAGCTTCCTCTCAAAGAATACTGCCACCCTTTATGAGGAGACAATTATATATAGCTTAAATTTTTACAAAGTCAACTGTCGATCGTTTATAATTATTATTCTTAAGCCTAATTAATCTTGGAATTTAATTTTAGGGTGGTTATCCAGGTGGATATGGAGGTGGCTACCCTGGCCAGCAACCACCTGGAGGTGGATACCCTGGTCAACAACCAGGTGGTTATCCAGGGCAACACCCTGGTAGTGCAGGAGGCTACCCTGGCTCAGCACCCCCTCCAGGAGGTTATCCTGGTGCTCCAGGAGGCTATCCCGGCTCAGCACCTCCCGGTGGCCCGGGAGGTTATCCAGGTGGAGCAGGTTATCCCGGAGGAGGCTACCCAGGGGTCAGTCCCGAAATTCAGGGCTGGTTCCAAGCCGTGGATGTCGATAGATCCGGTAAAATTTCTGCGAAGGAGCTGCAAGCGGCCCTGGTCAACGGACAAGGCAAAACCTTCAGTGACACTGCATGTTCCTTGATGATTGGTAATTAATAAAATAAATTATAAATAATAATTTTGCTTAAATTATGAATAAATCTAGTCATTGCAATTTTGGATAATGCAACATCATATTTTTAGGCATGTTCGACAAAGACCAAAGTGGAACGATCGACATGATGGAGTTCCAGCAACTCTACAATTACATCAACCAATGGCTTTCTGCTTTCAAATCCTATGACAGAGATGGATCAGGCTCCATTGACGAAAATGAGCTGACACAAGGTAATAATCTGTTTTATTCTCCTACACAAAATATTAATATTATGTAAATGCAGCATTCCAGCAAATGGGATACCGTTTCTCACCAAACTTTGTGAAATTTGTGGTCGCAAAGAGTGACCCTGCAACAAAATCCAAAATCACAGTGGACCAGTTCATCGTCATTTGCGTTCAAGTCCAGCGATTTACAGGTAAAAATTGTTGTTAAATTGTGTTGTTGGCTTGGCTTGTATTAATTATTATAATTAATTTAATTTTTCAGAGGCGTTCAAGGGTCGAGATCAAGAGATGAAAGGAGTGATAACAATCGGTTATGAGGATTTCCTTACAATTTCGCTTGGCTCCTCAGTGTAAATCTGCACATTCCCTGCTAATCAATTGGCCTCATATACACAAGCATTTCTTATAAGATACAGCAATTTATAAGTGGCAAAATTTTGTGCTCATTGCTATTGTTGCTTTTAGCAAGCACCTTACTTCCAATAAAATTATATATTGCATTTTTAGAGCTTCCTGCCGTCTGAATTGGATTAATTTAATTTCATGAAATATATCTTATGTTCTATGAAACTTAAATGTTGGTGTATTTCTTACAATTCCTTGTAAAAGTTATTTAAAATGAAGGGTAACATTCAATCAATTAAATTGTAAAAGTATTACAAAAAAAAATTGGTACAAGTAATCTATTTGATTTTTATGTCGATTTATTATAAAAAAGGAGTAATTAATGCAATGTTTGTGACATAAATACATTTTGTTCTTTTCGTTGTTTATTTTATATATTGGATCAACTTAACCGCGGCAGTCGAGTTGGACGCTTTGCAGACAATTTTAAATCCTTTCTTCTCTTTTGTTCCAAAATAATTAAAATTTTTGTGCTGACCGAGAATTATAGATAATAATGATGATATTAATTTTTAATGGGGCTTGCCCTATTGATATTTTTGAATTTTATTGTTATGTCATTGTTCAAAAATATTAAAATATTGATGTTATTGCTTTCTCCATTCACTAACACTTGAATTATAGAAACTTAGGAAGAGAGTGTCGAGTGACGGATTATGTAAGAATTTATAGTGTAAATATTGGGAAAAGTTGCAATCATAATTATAAATCCCTCTTTAATTATAATAATTTTGAATTTTATGTTAGGAATTTTTTTAAGCGCGTTATTTTTTGGTCACTTCGCGCCAAATTTTCATTGGTTTGATTCTCACGCCACAGCGAGCAAAGACCGCACTAGCTAGACTAGAAGGACCCGCGTCTCCGGACCCGCCTGCCGCACGTTGTTTTGCAAGGCAAAGATGCGTTTTTTGGCTTGAATCTTTCTCTATATTGAGTAATTTGAGACGAAACTGCCTTTTTTCTCCTGCTTATTTTAGCTGAGAACTCATTATCTGGCGACTGATCTCAAGACCGGTGAGAAAATCTATTAACTTAAGGCGAAAATTCTTGAAAAGTGTCAACACCATTATTGAACGATTTGTTGTTCGCCGACTGTTGACCGTTGCATTGTTGAAATATTTGAACATCGCTGAGTGTAAAGGAACGCGAATTTTCTTGAAAATTTGGAAAATTCTTTTAATTTTTAACAGCAGTGCCTTGAAACGAATTCCTTGCTGTGACGAGTTGCGGGGCTCATTTATTTGCCTCTCGCAAATTGATAGTTTTTAGTTTTACGACTGGATCATTATTTTGTAAAATTTCATTTTGACCTCGGCAAGAAACCCATGAACTTTTATTGTTTTCAGAAAGAGATGTCGAATATTCCGGTAGAGATTTCCCGTCTGTCGGACGAACAACTTCGAGCTGCCTTTATGGAAAGAGGTCAGCCGGTTGGACCAGTCACGGACACAACCCGTAAAGCCTATCAGAACAAATTAGCCTCAATTATGGGCTTTGGAACCCCAAAGAAGACCACCACCCCTAGGAAGAGCACTCCAAAGAAGCAGAGCTTGGCAGCAGTGAGCTCGGAGGAAGAGGACGAGGAACCGATGGTTCCAGTGGTGTCGAGACGGCAAGCCACTCCGCCAAAGAGAAAGTCTGGTCTGTATAATTATCGCACTTAATTCCCAATTAATTTTAAATTTTCATACAATTGACCTTGAATTCCAACAATTTTGTTATAGTCCTACCTCAAAGTCCTCAAACTCCAGTCATCACACCTCAAGTGAGCACCCCTGAAAGCTCAGTGACCAGGAAAAGGTCTGCAGCCAAAATAATCAAGACGAAGCCTGTGAAGCCAGCTACTCCAATCTCTTACGACACAGGATCTGACAGTGATGTGCCTGTTGAGCAACCTAAGGAGACCCGCAGGTCCACACACTCTTACTGGAGACAAACCACGGTGACTCCGAGCAGCTCAACGACTGCTCCTGGAAACTCTCCATTTGTGTCTGATTTTGGCAAGAGGCTCAGTCTCAATACCTTCAATGGCCACTCCACCAGAACGGATCTTGGCCCCCAGAGAATGCCTACTTCTGCTCACGAGGTATACAGTTTTTATTGGAAATTTTCATTTTCGTTCATTTCTAAAATTTAGAGCATTGGACCTTCGTGGAGTCACAAATTCTTCACTCTGGTGTTCCCTGTCCTGTTGGTTGGCTTTTTTGCTTTCCTGATTTTTCGCTACAATGGAATGCCTGCTGCCCCTCGGGACATTGCTGAGAAAATTGACCCCTATTTCAAGAACCTGGAAATGAGACCTGGTAACTTAAAATGGTTGGTTTTCTTATTCTGGTTTTAATATTTCAACCATTTTCCAACAGATACCGTGATTCCAGTTTGCAAAGACACACAAGTACAGGGAGTAAGTATTTTCATACTTAGAGTATCAAACTTTTACTACTGTTAAATTTTAGGATGCTAGCAATTTTTTTTTATTTTTAAGGTTTCATTGTAGAAAGTTAAAATAATTTTTCCATGATGTCCAATTTTCAGATCAACTGCATTATGTATAATGATGCTCTTCCTACCATGGAACACCTTCGATTCTTGGCTCCAAAAATTAAAAAGAAATATGTTGACGCCATTTGCTACCCTACTGGTGAACAAGAAGGAGTCGAGTTTGCTGAAGCTTACCCTATTTCTGACCTGGGCTACGAGCTAGATGTCCGAGGAGTTTCGGTAAATGTAAATTGTTGGTAAAATAGCTTCCACTTCAATAATATGTCTATTCTTTAGGATTCCGAGACTGTCATGAACAACATTCGAGTGATGGTGCGTCACAATCCTAAGTGGGGCTTGGAGATCACCAATCAAGGCAAAGCCATTACTTTGACTGAAGCATGCCTGCCAACCCTGTGCTCCTTCAAGCTGAAGATTGCAGGGTTTATGAATACCATCATTGCTGTGTGTGCTGGTTAGTTTTAAATTAAAAAGAGATATTTAAATTAACTAATTTTAACTCTCAGCGCTTGCATTGCTGTTGGCCATTAAGGGTGTGCACAAATTCTTTGTGGACAGGGCTCTGAAGGATAAGGCTCGGAAGGAGGCGCTGATCAATAGAATCAGAGATCGCATGGAAAGCACAGAACTAGCAAACGGGCCTTTTGATGTTCCCATCGACCAGCTGAGAGATGAGCTGCTTGGAGCCAACAACATCAAATGTGTGTTATTTAATTTTTGTTTATCTTGATTGTTAATTATTTCTTTAATAGCTATGAAAAACATCTGGGAAGAGGCTTTGGCTAGCGTTTTGAAGTACGACCCACAAATCAGGCTGGAGACAAAGAGAATTGGAGGTGAAGAGACTGATTGCCTTGTATGGATTCACTCCAGGTCTCCTCCAGGAAACAGAACCTATCAGAATTTTCAAGATGATGCGGCACAACAAAGAGAAAATGTAATTATTACAATTTTTCCACTTGCAAATGTAAAAACTTGCTTTCATCATGCAGGCCGAAAGTGCATCCCAGATGTCGAAAGATAACATGAGCAAAGTTTGGCAGGGACAAGCCTTTGAAAATGTTGAGGGGTCGTTCAACTCTCCACCTGTGTGCCCTACTCAGTGCCTGAAGATTCGACACATGTTCGTCCCTGATAAGTGAGTTTTTTCAAATCAAAATTGGTTTACCAAAATATTAAAATATTTCTTAAAATCTAGACCTGCTGGTTCTGAAGGAGTTGTTGATGCCATTTTGGAAAAGTGTGGGCAGAACGTTAACATTCTGCACATCAAGTTGGACTCTACTGCAAATGACTGCTGCGTCTATATGAAAACTGCAAGCCAAGCCGATGCTGGACGAGCTTTCCGAGCCTTGCACGGATGGTGGTTTGATGGTATGCCATCTAATCTGCATGGAAGAATTTTTCCTAAAAAGCATTATGAATCAGGAAACTTGGTCACCGTAAAGTTCTTGCGTCTTGAGCGCTATCACGAGAGATTCCCAGAGGCCATCAATGCTTGCATCCCTCTTCGCCCGTCCAACAATCTGAAGCGCTCTCTACAAGGCAAACTCTGGGAGGACAGATCAAACTGATGCGGGAAAATTCACTCATTTTAACCTTAAGACTCACCAATTTTAACAGAATTAGCATCTTGAGACTAGAAAGAAGCTAAATAGAAACTTCATTTGGAATTGAAAGTGCTCCTTGAAAAAAAGAAAATGAATATTTGGCGCACTGGGTAAAGTTCAACATTGAATTATCATAAAAGTATCATAAGTTAAATAAAATTGATCTTGAAAGTTGACCACCCATACTGCTGAAACTTTATAATTATGTAAAATATTTAAGTTTTCCATATCCGTGGAAATGTGAAGATGAGGGTGTTTTACGTAGGGTGTATGGCCCATGCCAATTTAGAATTTAACGCTCCATAATTTGAAATGAGTTGTATAGCACAGTAGAAGTTAATGTTCTTAATGAAATTGTCAAAATGAATTGTTTTTAGATTTAACGTCGGCTCTAAAAAATTGATACAGATGTAATTTTAGTTCAATGATATAAATTGATGGCTCATTTATCATATTATTTGAATCCCATTATAAATATTATTCTTACACTTTCTTGCTTGTAATTTTTATTTAAGTAACTTCCAATGATGTCAAGATTATGTATATTAATACTTTTTCAACTAATGACTAATTTTTGTTCTCAAAAACTTGTATTCTGAATAAAGCGACGAAGACTGCTAAATTTATGAAATTTTATTTTAAAACATTTTTCTTGTTATAATTATTAATGATATGTAATAAAATCCCTTTTGGAAGCTATGAAAATTTTTTTAACTTACAAGCAATGCTGATTATTACAATAGCTTGATTATTTTATTTTTGGCAAACCGCAACCCAAGAAGTCTGCAACCCGCCTATATCTTTCCCTCCCACATCAAAAAGTGGGCGTGGTTCATTATTTGTTTTCGTTTGTAAAACGCGTTAAGCAAACAAGACAGAAGTGAGGAGTTTGTTTCAATTTTTCGCAATTTTTATAAATAATGTATTTGCAAACCACTTTAAGCCAATGTCATTTAATTCATAATAATGCTTTTCAGTCCAAGAAATGTTCTAACGAGTAGCGGATCAATGGCTTCAAACAGAATTATAAGCGCAGGCGATGCTAGTTTAGGAGAGCCAGAGCAAGACGCAAATTCAGCTCTCACGGATTTAGACAAAGGTATCCATATTTATGCAAAATATAAATGGATTAAATATATTTATTTAATAGGTCTTAGATCTGGAAACGTGGGCGAGCAATGTGAGGCAATCGTTAAATTTCCTAGGCTTTTTGAAAAATATCCATTTCCCATTTTGATCAACTCTTCCTTCTTGAAACTGGCTGATGTTTTTCGAGTTGGGTAAGCAAAAAACAAACTCGGTGTTTTAGAATTGGGAAAAATCATTGAATATCCTTGTAGAAACAATTTCATGAGAGTGTGGGTGCTCCGAGTATGCCAGCAAAGTGAAAAGCATTTGGACAAAATCCTTAGCATTGATGATTTTGTGAGACGAATTTTTGGAGTAATTCATTCAAACGATCCTGTAAATATTTTGTGCTTGTCTTCCTCAGCTTATTCTCAAATCCTTTATAATTCAAACAGATAGCCAGGGCATTAACTCTGCATGTAATGGGCAGTGTGGCTAGCATAATTCCGGAGCGAGAACAAGTGCATCACAGCATTCGAAACAGTCTTGATTCTCATGACACTGTTGAAGTTCTAGCAGCAGTTTATGCTGCCTCAAAGTTTGCAGCACATAGCAGGTATGAATAAAAATACAGTCGATTTTTGTTTTGGAATTTTAGCCCTAATATGTTCGTTTTAGGACGTTTGCTGTGAGCATGTGCAACAAAATTGCAGGAATGATCAAGGGACTTGATACCCCTGCTGAGCTTAAACTAAGGTTGATCCCTGTTTTGCAGCACATGCACTATTCAACCTCAACTGCAGCTATGGTAATAATTTAATGAGTTTTATTTTTTATTTTTTGTAATTTTAATTTTAATTATAAGGTTCGTGAGTTGGGTGGTGAGCTGCTCCAAAGCTACCCAGCAAATGAATTTCTCTTAACGTCCTTAGACACTCTTACAAAATTGGCAAAAGAAGCACTAGTGGACATTCCTCATCAGGTATTTTTTTTTACCTTTCAAATGCTTTTCAAATGCAAATCTTTTTACTGACTCAATTCTCCAGGTGTCCTTACTTCTGTACAGTCTAGAGGGAGAGCCAAGGGTAGCTGTTCAGAAACACATTTTCTGGGAGCTGAAAATACTTGCAAAAGAAGGAGCAACGCATTGGACAGCAGCCTCTGTTGCTGCTTTAGTGGCTAAAGCTCAGACGTATCTCTCCAATCCTAACAGAAAGCGGCTCTTGGTTGCTGCTCTAGATGCTCTTGTGGTTCTTTCACAATCTGCATCTACCTGCCATGAACAAATGCACCCTGGTAATTTTTAAAACTTGTAAGAAATTTATAAGCATCCTAACGATTTTGCTCTTAGAATCTGGTTTGATTGATCTGTGCATTCAGAGTTCAAGTGCTCTTGAGCCACAAATTGTCAGCAAAGCACTCACCATTCTCACAAATATCAACTGTCATTGGTAATTAAAATATAAACTTTTTTAAAGCTATATCTTAAAATTAATTTCTTTATTCAGTTATAACGCAGGACTTCCACAGCTTCCAAATGATGACGCCCTCGAGCTGGCATTAGAGTCTTTCATGATGTTTTTGATGATCCAAGACAATGAAAAATTTTTGCCGCAACTGAAAACATGCTTAAAATGTATGGTCCAGCTCTGTGAAGCTTGTCCACATCGGTGTCATTTCTTTGTGGAATTGATTTCCGAACAGATACTTTGCAAAAAGGGGAACAGTATGATTTACATGTTCATCAAACTATTTCATAGATTTTAATTTTTTTTTTAAAATCTAGCACTGTTTTTATTGGTTGAAACTTTGGCTGCAATGGCCTGCTGTGCTCCAATCGTCAATGAAAAGCCCCTCCTGCTTGGAATTTTGCCTGACATATCAAGACTGATCGAAGGCTTTTCAAAAGTAAATATTTCCATTGAAAATGATGCAATTTTTATGTATAAAAAAATTGTAGGATGAAAAACGGGGATCTTTGTTGTGCACTCTGGTGCTTCAGACATGTCAAGGCTACAGCATACCTCAGGACGTTCAAAAGTGTTTGTATGATTACTCGCAAAAGTGTCAAGTTTGGGAGTGCTACAAATTAACTAGAGCATCAATGAGGTTAGTTAATATTCCTCATCAGTTTACATCAATGTCAATTTGATATTATGTCACAGATTTGGCCAGCACATGTTTGCAGTTCCATCAATTTCCCGCCTGATACACTATGTCAGCTCTGAATCTCTCCATTTCTGGCTGAGTTGTCTAAAAGACGTCAGTTTGGCTGAGTGTGCCCTGATGAACGAAAAGCCTGTGAACTCCGATGGTGGTCATTTGTCTTTGTCAAGGGAGAAACAGCCCGGTTTATTGGAAAGCCTGTCGTCTGCTTCAATTCACTACTCGAAAGCAATCGCAGCAATAAAGGTAAAGCTCTGCTGTATTGTTTGCAGTATTAATAAATCTGAGGTTAGGCTGCAGGTTCTTCTCATCAGTCACTTCAGTTTGCTGCGGACTATTTGCGTCTGCGGCTAGACTTCCTGCAGTGCATGTCCCAGCTTGTGCAGTCCTGCAATTCTCTCTACCACCCACCACCTGCTATTGCCATGAATCAGGCGCAAGTCTGCAACGATGAATTCTTGAGACACGGTCGGACGACAACACAACTTAGAAAATGTGCCACAGAGTTCCGCACAATAGCCGACAACTACCACAAACTGGCTCAGTGTGCTTTCGATGCTGATCCGAAATCATTGGCAAACGTCAAAGTGTATCCTTTCAAAATTCTTATATTTTGTCTCATAGAAATTTAATTGTAAACCTCGATAAATATTTTAAATCCTTAACTTTCTTCATTAGACTCAAAAACATTTGTTTGATGATGGCCCAGAGTATAGAATGCTTGGTATTTACAAACCATCAGGACAAAGACCTAGTAGATTTTGGGTATAATTTAATAAAATTATAAATTTTAATTTACTTCCATTATAATTCTTAAATCTCAATAGGTCTACAAAGGATTGTCCAGAACTTCATCACTTGGTGACTAGCAGTAAGAGAGCTATGCAAATCATTGAAGACCTTAAAAATGATACTAATTCAAAACCTATTACAAGCAAGGTAATTTAGAAGAAGAAAAAAACGGGAAATATTTATCATTAATTATTATTATTTTAGCACACAAATGCATTACTTCGCCAAGTTAAGATCGTCACTGTGTCTCCTTTATGTCTTCCTAGATACTTCTTCCAAACATTGCAGTGCACCTCTGTTAAGGTAACATGCATAAATTGAGACAACTTTTTACTTGATTTTCAACAATTTGCAGCTTTCAATCACCCCACAAGCTCGACTCGTTGGAGAAATCACAGTCCCTGCCAACACTCAAATGGTGGTACACATCGAAGGAGTCTGTCAGCACCTTGGAACTCCAGGCCTGTTTAGAAGCATAAAGGGCATTGACCTTGTGCTCACCAACACATTCCAATCCTCTCGGGGCCCTGATTCAAACAAAGTAGTAAATTTTTTTTTGTACAGGGAACCGGCATTAATTATAAATTTTTAGGAGGTGGGAAGCATGAACCAAGTGGTGAATCCTCATCACGATTTCTTCTCGGCGCAGTTCCTGTTGTCATTCCCTCAAGGAGGCCAATATCAAATTTGCATAACAGCGTCTATTGTGGACGAAGAAGGCCTTGTGTGGCGCAGTGGTCCAAAATCTTATTTGGTGGTAAAAGTTTACGACGAACCAGGTGCAGGTGGATCTTCCGGCTCCATTCAAGCTCTAAACAAGGGATTTTCTGAATCTGGGGGTGGAAATGTTGGTATGAGAGCACCAAGATTTTAAACTTTTGCAATAAATTTGAAGGATAAAAAAACTTATTCATAATATTGGTAATTATTTATGACAAATGTCAAATGAATCGCAAAAATTCCTAACATTAATTTTTTTTAAATAACATTATTTAGGGGGATATGGGATACAAATTGAAATATGGTAAAATTAGTTTTTTACTAGCTCTATCATTTTCATTGAATGTTTTATCATTAAAAAAAATATAAATATGTGCACATAATTGTGCTTCCCTTTAAATTTTATTTGAATATAAATTTAATGAGTAAAAATATGCAGAAATAAAAATAATATGAACATCACGGATTTTATGAATGCCCCGCCAATTTTTTGTGATATAAAGTTCATTCAAGGGGGGCGATAGTAGTGACGTAACTAACAGATGACTGCACTGGTTCTGCTGTCATCAGCATTTCGCCACACGTGTTGAGATTGTCTGACTTTTTGAGCCTCAAAATATTCTGCCTAAATGAAATAATTTGTAATCTGGAAAGACCGGAAAGTCATCCAAAAAAATGAGCAGTCATTCCGGAGGAAAGAAGCAGTACCGGGAAACTAACAGCGCACTTCAAGCGTACGTAATTGACTGTATAATCCCATTTTTTCATGAGACCAAATGAGCACCCCATGTGGCTGATAGCGTGTTCTCCATTGAATATTTTTGTTTAAAATGCCTCATTGGATTTAATTTGTAGTCAGGATCATTTCATGCTTTAATGTCTACATTTTCTACAGACCGTCATTGTCTTTAATTTTCAATTTATAATTTAAATCATGTATCATGACTGAGAATGTCTCATCTTTTCTCATTTTTCGCGGATTTATATTCAAATATTTTCCACTTTGTTCATTCAGTCAATAGATGGCGTGCGCTTAAAATAAAAAAATGTAACCGATTTTCAGTTAATAAAATCAAAATATTTTGCGATTATTAGTTAGCTTACTCTTAATGATTATTGAACGTACAGTTTTTATACATTTAAGCTACAAAAATGCATTTTTTCTGCTTTCGTCACAATAAGGGTGATTTAAAAGCGTTATCTTTAATCAATTAAACCGGTTTTAAATTTTGTAAACAAACCGATATATTAGCCACGCCCACAAATCAACAAAAACATAAAATCCCATGCTGCACGTATGTGTAAACGTAAACAAATCTATGTACAACCGCAGTGCAAAAATGCAAAATTTGCACTGAATCTGAATTCTATATTGAATAAGAGGTTCTTACGTATTTTTTTTGCACTCTCTCTAGTTTTCATGTTTTTCACATTCACAAAATCGTCAAAAACTTAAACCAATTTTAAGATAAAATGGTCAAGCAACAATATCGCTCGTCCAATTTTGTGCAAAAAGCGTAAGTACATATTGAAAATTCCCTTCAAAAATTTAAAAAGAAGTTTTCACTTTTACATTTTAGGAAAAAAATTATAAAATTTATAATATTTTACAGATCCGGACTCAATTTTGAGCTTGTGAAGAGGGAACATATTGAGCAGCAGTCCCATATTCAGATCTTTGCCACTCAGCTCTTCAGAGATGAGCAAAGAAACCCTGAATTTTACTCTGCGCTAGATAGGCGTCTGGTTAGCTTGAAAAAGATTTTGATCAGTTAAGAACCTAATAATGATTTTATTTAGGGCACGAGCAGCAAAGACAACAAGTGTGAGACATGTGGACAAGGTGTTTTGGATTGCCCTGGGCACTGGGGGTTTATGACCCTGGAGTTGCCAGTGTTCCACATAGGCTACTTTGGCCAAGTCATCAACATTCTGCAGACCATTTGCAAGGCACTGAATTCAAATATCTGAAGAAGAAAATCGGCTCTAACTTTTGTACATTCACAGGAATGCTCGCATGTGCTTCTTACTGGGCAGGTGAAGCAAAAGTACATGAACATCATGAACTCAAAGCTGTCATACGTCAGCAAAAAGAAGCACAGGAAGGAAATCCAGGTGCTTGCCAAAAAGACCACTGTTTGCCCAAACTGCACTGCAATGAATGGAATTGTAAAGAAAGGTGTTGGTTTGATGAAAATCATCCACGACCAGATAAGAAACTGCCCAAAGAAGAAAAAGGAGGACATACTGCAGGAACGAATCGGTAACGCAAAATATTAGCAACCTAACTATTCCCTCTAATTTTTTTATTCAGCCGAGTGGACAAATATTCTTGGTGACAGTGCCGAAGCTGAGAGAATTGCCCCTTCCACCTTTGTCCACAATCTCAATCCGAGGGATGTGTATTATCTGTTCAAACGCATCCCCGAGTGTGATGTGCCTCTGCTTGGGATGTCTCTGTACTCCATTCAGAGACCACACGATCTCATTGTTACTGCAATCCCTGTGCCACCCATTGTAATCCGCCCGTCAGTGAAAAATGACTTGAAGGCTGGATCCACTGAAGACGACATCACGATGACCATCAATGAGATTGCTTTCATCAACGAGGTCATCAAAAAACATCAAGCAAACAATGCAAAGCCTGATATGATATTTGTGGACTGGGAGTACCTGCAAATAAAATGTGCTCGTCTGATCAATGGTGACGTTAGAGCGCCGTTTGAAATGCAGGTTGGCTTTTTATTAAATTTTACTTTGTCAAACAACTATTTATCATTTTATTTTTAGCAACACAAGACTAAAAGAGGATTTGTCCAAAGACTGAAAGGAAAGGAAGGGCGCTTCAGAGGGAACCTGTCGGGAAAAAGAGTAGACTTTTCTGGCAGAACTGTGATCAGCCCAAATCCATACCTCAAAATTGATGAGGTAAGTAAGTATCTTTGAAATAATGCGCGACCATGTTATTAAGCTTCTTGAACATTAAAAGGTTGGAGTCCCTCGACATGTGGCTATGACGTTAACCTACCCCGAGAGGGTGAACAACAACAATATTGCCTATCTGCAGAAACTTGTATCTGCTGGCTCTAACAAACACCCAGGGGCAAACTACTTCAATAGGCTAGGCTTCAGCAGGAAAGATCTTGGCTACGGAGACACTAAAATAGTTGCTCAAAAACTCCGGGTGAGGAAAATGTGAAATTATAATATGGTTCAAAGAAGATCTATTAAATAAAATCCAGCATTGCAAAATCTAAACAATTCCTTATCTTATCCAGCCAGGTGACGTTGTTGAGAGACACCTTCAGGACGGTGACATTGTGCTTTTCAATCGGCAGCCCAGCTTGCACAAATTGAGTATCATGTCGCACAGAGTAAAGGTTCAAAACACAAGGACGTTTAGGTGAATGATCGATTAAATTTTTTATGCAAATGCTTACATTGAATTTTTTTAAAGTTTTAATGAATGTGTCTGCACGCCTTACAATGCGGACTTTGATGGAGACGAAATGAATCTGCACGTTCCACAGACAGAAGAAGCCAGGGCCGAAGCTCTTATTCTCATGGGAGTAAGATTAAGTTCCTTAAATTTTATTTTTAAATTTTATCATTTAAATATTTTAGAGCAAATCAAACCTGGTCACTCCAAGGAGTGGTGAATTGATGATTGGAGCAACCCAGGATTTCCTCACTGGTGCTTTTTTGATCACTCAGAAAGACCACTTCTTGACGAGAGACAAGTTTTGCCAGCTCATTAATTCGTTCCTGGTAGATGAGGATGCTGCAATGAGAGTGGACATTCCAAAGCCAGCAATTATCAAAGTAATAAATTGACTAAAAATTTTAAATAAATATGATAATATTATATCTTAAAATATGTAGCCGTTGGAACTGTGGACTGGCAAGCAGCTGTTTAGTATGATTCTGAAGCCAAATAAAAAGTGTCCCGTCAAGTGCAATCTTAGAGCAAAAACCAAACCCTATAAAGGAAACGACGAAGAGCTGACTGCCGATGATTCATGTAACCAATCGTTAATTAAAATTTTCACAATGATTTTTTTTTCCCGTAGTTGTTGTGATTAGAAATTCTGAACTGCTTGCTGGAGCGCTGGACAAGAGTTTGCTGGGCTCTGGTGGCAAAGGCAACATTTTCTATGTGCTCCTACGAGACTGGGGTGAAAACGTCTCCATAAAAGCTATGGCTAGATTGGCTCGTCTGACATCAAACTTCTTGATGAACAGAGGATTTTCCATTGGCATTGAAGATGTCATGCCTGACGAAAATCTGATTGCCACTAAAAAGTCGCTTGTCAGAGAGAAGTAATTTCAATGTGACTCTTTTCGATGATCCTATTTTATTAACAAAAATATCTAGGTACCAGATTTGTGATGAACTGATTGCCCAGCACAAAAATAATACACTTCAGTGCTTACCTGGCTGCTCTTTGGACACAACTTTGGAGGCGAAGCTGCTTGGAACTTTATCAGACATCCGAGAAAAGGCTGGAATGGCTTGTTTGAGAAGTCTGCCAAGATACAACAGTCCTATGACAATGGCGTTGTGTGGTTCAAAAGGTATGCAAATCACTACTTATACAATTGCGTATGAAGTAAATTGAATATTAAATTTACAGGTTCCATTATTAATATCTGCCAAATGATTGCTTGTGTGGGCCAGCAAGCTATTGGGGGCAAAAGAGTGCCGGACGGTTTTGAGAACAGGGCCCTTCCTCACTTCCCACATTTCTGTAAGTATTTGTTACTGCTTTTTAACATGAAAATAACATTCTCAAACATCATAGCTCGTGAACCAGCCGCAAAAGGCTTCGTGGAAAATAGTTTCTTCTCGGGACTTACTCCTACTGAATTTTTCTTCCACACTATGGCTGGCCGTGAGGGTCTTGTGGACACGGCTGTCAAAACCGCAGAGACTGGTTACATGCAAAGGAGACTGATGAAGGTGAGGTATGCACTTTTGGTGTATATAATGTTCTCATTAATTGAATTTTCAGGGTTTGGAAGACTTGTGCGTGCAATATGACGATACGGTGCGAAATTGCAACAATATGGTCATTCAGTTTTGCTACGGAGAAGATGGACTGGATCCAACTTATATGGAAGGTTAGTAAATATTAATCTGCGTGATTAAAATTTTCTCATTTTTTTTTAAATCATCAGGAAAAGACCAACCTGTTGAGTTTGAACGTATACTGGAGCACGTAAAAGCCAAATCACCATTCCGCAGTGAAGACGGACTGGAGGGTGTAAAAATTTGTCAGTACACTGAGCAAATGCTAGAGCATGAAATGGAGAAGTGTGGAGAAACTGCTGATCAGTTCAAAAACTCCATTCGTCAATACATGGACGCAGTTGCAGCCCGCGTCAATGAGATTAGAGAAATTCAGGGTGTGAGTAAAGGCAGAAAACCAACTAAGGTAGAACTGGAACTGGAAAGGCTGACACTGAGTCAGTTAGTAGAATTCTTTGAGACGTGCCGAGAAAAATTTATCCAAGCTAAGATTGAGCCAGGTAAATTATCGTTTTAATTAAATTAGGATTAAATTCAAGTTAATATTAAAATTCAGGAACTGCTGTTGGTGCGCTTGCTGGACAGTCAATTGGAGAACCGGGAACACAAATGACACTGAAAACTTTCCATTTTGCTGGTGTTGCATCAATGAATATCACACTGGGTGTTCCTCGGTATAAACGACTAGGATTTATTTAGTTATTGTTTGCAACTTTTTTTCCTATTTCAGAATCCTTGAGATTATGAATGCTGCCAAAACTATGAGCACTCCCCTGATTACTGCCAAACTTGACGGAAAGGGCCAGTTTGAGGAAGGCGAGGCCAGGAGAATCAAGGGCAGGATTGAGAAAACGACACTTGGAGAGGTGTGTCGATACCTGGAGGAAGTAGTTCTTCCCGACGAATTTTTCATAATCGTCCGTGTGGATATTGCAAGAATTAAACTGCTTAAATTGGAACTCAATGCTGCCATAATTGCCTACATGTAACATTGCGATCTGTAGCGTTGGATAGTTTTAGATGTATTTATTTTCCAGGATCGATGTGAGCAGCAAGCCAAAAATCAAAGCCAATGTAGAAGTGATGAGTGTGTCTGTGTTAAAAGTTGTACCTAGAATGGACAAGGAGAAAAGAGATCCGCAGGAAGTCCTTCAAGAACTTGCAACACTCCTTCCGCAAGTCACCATTTCAGTGCGCTTAGACCTGTAGTTTTTTTCTTTCTCTAAAACAAAGAATTATTGCAGGGAATTTCAACTGTGAGCCGTGCTGTAATTAGCCACGATGAAAAGGACAATAGCAAGCTTCAGCTGGTTATTGAAGGATCAGGACTGAGAGATGTGTTGGCCACACCTGGCATTGACTGGAGGCACACAAGGTTCAGTTTAGTAAACTTTTTGAATTTTGATCATTTTTTACAATAATTACAGGTGCAACAATATTTTGGAGGTCAAGAATGTACTTGGAATTGAGGCTGCAAGAGCAACTATCATTGAGGAAATTAGATTTACAATGAGGGATTACGGAATCACCCTTGACGTGCGACACCTCATGTTGCTAGCGGACCTAATGACCTCTGTGGGAGACATGCATGGAATGACTAGATTTGGATTGGAGAAGATGAAAGAATCTGTTTTGATGCTAGCATCGGTAAGTTTCAAGTTACTAGTACTGCTTTATTTGATTCTTTTTTACTTTTTTCAGTTTGAAAGGACAAGTGATCATTTGTTTGAGGCAGCCCTTTATGGCCAAAGAGATTCTCTGAGTGGTGTTAGTGAAAGCATAATAATTGGCAATCCAATGGATATGGGAACTGGACTTTGCAAACTGCTTTACAAATATCCTTTTCAATCATTTATATGTAGTTGAATTATTTGTGTTAATACGTTTTTGGTAATTGATGTTTTCCTTGACTCTCTACTGCACATCTCCACAGGAAGAAGAACCACCAAAAGTTAAAACACCTCTGCTTGCCTCACTACTTGAACAGGTTTAACGCAGTAACTCATGTGCTGAATGGACTGTATTTTTCTGCTAATAAAATTGCTTTTATAAAACCAGATTTTCTTTCAAAATTTAAATAAGAAAGCATCAAAAACAGTGTTTGTCATTTATTAATCGTTAACAGTAAATAATTTACAGCAGTTTGTGAATGTCTGAATTTTTCTGAAGACCAAACATCACCTACGACAGACAGAATGATGATTTCTTTTGTTGCAATCTATATCTGTGTTTTAAGGGGGAAATGCCTTCAATTTACTTCAGTTGGTCGAGATAGGGGACTCCGCTAATGTTGCCCAAAGCAGCCAGGGCAAACTTGCCACCGGCAACCTTCTTGGCAGCCTGTAAACAAGTAAATTAGCAATAATAAAGAAGCCAGCGGATGAAAAGCCAAACTCACAGCAGCAACGTCGCTTGTGGAAACTCCATCGACAAGGGAAACTACTTGGGAGGCAGAAGCAACAGACCCTCTGAGGACAGCCTCAAGGCCAATGGACTCAGAAAGACCACTGCCGGTCTCACTTTCCTGCAAAATCTGGGCCTTCAGCTGGGCTTTGGCGCGCTTCACGTCAGCGTCCGACACGGACAGAGACTTAAGACTGCGGACAACAGCTTCAAGAGCCTGAAAAATAATTTATAAAAAAAAATTAAAATTTGTTTTTCTAGTAAGACAAGAGAAGCTATATTTTACCTTTCCGGCAACATTGCCAGGGGCTGCGACCACAGCACCAAAGAGACCACTGTCAGAGTAGCTGACATTGAATCCAGAGGCAGCGACAATTTCATTTTCAGCAGCAGCACAAGCGGCCTTGGCGATAGGGGAGGTTGAGGCACCATTGCTCCATTTGACTGAAGGACCAGCACCGGCAACCCGGTGCAGGAGAGCGTAAACAATAGCATCCTTGGCGTTGGAAACGCTGTGAAAAATTTTTCATATATAAAAACGAAGACGCTATCAAAATCTAACAAACCTGGCTCCTTCGGTGGCGATGGCAATGAAGGCCGAACTCGAACCACCCTCCTGTCTGATTTCACCGGCGTTGAAAGTGGGTTTGGAGGCAGCAGGTCCGTTGTTGGAGTCGAGAGCCAGAGACTGGGCTGCTGGCACCAACAAGTCCTGGCCAACACCAATACCAACCACGGCGCCCCTGGTGGTGGTGAAGGTCTGGTTTACGTAGTGCTGCAATGTCTCGGAGCTAATTTTGCCAACGTTGTGACTGGCGACATACAGGCTGTTGCCAAGACCGGTGCGGTAGGCGGCCTTGTGCAGAAGGTCAATTCCACGAGCCTAGTTTTTTTATTTATTATTATTTTGTTTCAGAAAAAACAAAACTAAAATTACAGGTGCAGAGAGTCCAGCAAGTTCGTATTTTAGTCTGGGCACGGCATCTGCAAGTTCCCAGGGCTTGAAGGCCTGCTTAGAGGCGATTTCCAATAAGTACTGCACGGTGGGCTCGCTAAAAATAGTATTTGTGAGAAAATGTTATAAAACTTGAACATTTAAATCAAACATGGAATCGTTGGTGGCCTCCAGTGTGTAGGAAATATGCTCTCGGCCAACCTGGCACGTGAGGTTGGCACCATATTGCTGCAGGTTCCTTGTGATGGAAAAGTGGCTTGCACCCTTCGTGGTCAAACCAGCGATGATCCTCAAAAAGTGGGCTGCTCCCAAGTTCTCAGCAGTCTCGTACCGAGAACCGGCTCTGAAAATACCAAAATAGAATATGTCATTACAAAGAGGCCTCAAGTAATTCATTTTTAATTTAAATAAAAGTAAAATAAATTAGCCACTTCTCAAAATAATTAATTAGCTATCGTAAAATTCAGTCAAGTCACGACTGGATATTACCGGAAGAAGATTGACACTCTGGAGAGAGGCGAATTGTTGTCTACAGAAGTAACGATGAGCTTGTTGGGCAAGACAGTGGACTTGACGTCCTGCGAGGCCGCCGACTGCAGAGGCTTGGCAGCTGCTTGTCCAGCAGCATAGTGCCGTTGCTGAAATAATGATGCAATTAATATCTTGAAATTTTCTTAAATAGAACTGTAAAATCTTTGCAACGAAACGGCTGGTATAATAAAATCTGGAGTTTGATCTTTGCAAAAGATCGCCGGGACCTCGATTTTTCCAAGCCCGTTCGGCACCAAATTTTTGGGGCCACTGTGGCAGAATTTAATCTCCGCTGACAAGGACTTACCGCGATTGCTCGCAGCAGAGGCGTTTTCGAAGCCATCGGTGCAAGCAACGAGAAATTCAACCTTTTTCGACCAGAGTGTCGACCTCCAATATGTCCGAAGATCACACTTTTTCGAAGCGAAAAGGAACACCTGAAATCGGTCACGTGGCCACGCCCACTTCAGACAGCGCGAAAATGCATGGCACGTGGTCGCTCGCAATGGAACATGCAAAAATAGATTATTACGAATAATACAAAAAATAAGAAAATTGGGATGATGATAAGCATTCTTTCAACAAATTCATGCTCAACTGGAAGGCAAACATGCAGTTTACGGCAAGGTGAGCTTAGTTTCCGTGATGATCCTCCAAATTTATGGCATGAACACGAATTATATGACCAAAAATGGAAAAAATGTCACTTAAAATTATTGAAAGCCCAAAACAGCACATAATTTATAATTTCCATAGTTTTACTCATATTTCTTGAACGTGAGGTATCTTTTAATATTGGCACGGTTTGGCGAGCGTGTTCGATTAAAGTTCTTTAATGCGGCAGTCTAATAAAATAATTTGTATTTGTAAGTAATTACTTAAAAATTCATTTAATAATTTTTTAAATATTGCCACTTACCGCTAAGTAATCCTGATGTAGTCAATATTTTAATATAAATAATAATTATTGATACGCTCAAATCTCATATTCGTTAAAACTACACAAGTTAGGTTTCATAATGTGCATTCCAATTAAAAGGTTTGCTGAAATTTTATGAAATTGGATTCTCATTACTATAATTGTCTGGTCCGTAAAAATCAAATAGTATTTCTGGTTGCTACATTTTTCTCTATCGAGCATAAATATTTTACTTTTGGAGAGAATAATTGGAACTAATATGTATAAACTTATTTTTCTTTTTATATTTTTGATGTTGCGTTTAATACTAATTAAAAAATATTTATTATTTATTCATCCATAGCTTCAGTGCGGAACTTTTTATTTTCACAAAACAAATAGTGATATCCGTACAATGACAAGCAAAAATGAGTCTCAGTGAAGCGGCCCATCAACGATTTTAATACTTATATTTAAGGACAGTCGTTGTAATAATATAGGATTATGCTAATAGCTATTATTATTATATTTATATATTTTATGCCATTATAATGAACGTTCCTGTTGTACACCTATTGAGTGATCAATAGATATGATATATAAATATCCTAATCTTTATTATTTATAATTTTTGAAACACAATCTAATTGCTAATTTTTTAATCTTAGATCTATGTATTATATTTTTTGAAAGGTTAAGCTCAAAGTCAGTGATCCCAGAGTCCAGACCAAAGTGATGATATAAATATCAAGTATCGTTGTAGTTGTATATATGATTTTATTTAGTACCGCAGTCAAATTTCCGGCATTGCAGTACATATCAAATTTTGAACCGTCGGAGCCTCCTCCTCACTACTCGACTCTCCGCCAACTCGGCAGCAGCTGCCGATCAGACGGAGAGGGTCATGTGACCGCTCGTGCAGCACCACCAACAGCAAAAACGTTCTCCCCCATGCATATGCTATTTTAATTAATTCACCCCCTCGCGGTCGACGACGCGGACGCGTGCGCGAGCGAGAGATAGGCAGCACAGCCAACAGCAACCATACAAAAATTGACAGAACGCACACATGTGATAAAACATAATCACAGAGACTGGGCGCTGAGAGAAGAAAGGTCGGAATTGAAGCCTTTCCTGGATCGACCTCGCAACTGTGAGGTGACTAGGGTCGATTAGAACTGGTGCTCTGGATCGTTCACGTCCCAGGGAAAGGATCAGTCAGATCAGACACTGATTAAAAGCTGAAAACTGTCACTTTTGAATAAGGTATGATTTTGTTATGCTACACATTTTTATTAAAATTTGTTTGTTAAAAAACTATTGAATTTTAAATTATATAATATTCTATATTACAGATGTATTTTGTTTACCTAAAAATGTAAAAAAAAAAATCATTTTCTCTTTTATTCAGCCTTTCTCTCGTGAACAATTTAAAACTTGATTATGTAAAAAAATATTGTCTCAGTCCTGAAGTTAATTTAAATATTGAATAAATAAAAGACATTCCTTAAAATCGTCGGCTGAAGCTGCGATAAATTAATTTCAGCTTTCGGCATCAAAATTAATTCTACCAAATTCAATGCAGTCTTAATTTTACTTGAAACTTGATGTGAATAATTTGCGTTTCCCTTAATGACATGAATAGCTGAACAGTTTGTAATGTTGGAATTTATTCAGCGCCTTTTGTGCGAGGCGAACTTAATAAGCCACCGAGTCTCTCTCGCACGTCAGGAGCGGTCGTCCTGCATTTATCCGCATTTATTTACGGAGGCAGCTTTGCTCGTAGCTCGAGATGGTTTACAAATGCGATCAGCAGCGGGCCCCGGCACAGCTGGCTTTTCATAATTCCCTGCTACCGCGCTCTGCCAGCGGCTCAGAGTCGTCGGTCACAGGCTGCGTTTCTATTGTGTTGTATGCGCGGGGTGTATTTTATCGCACAAGCCGACCGCACTCGCTGATAAAAACTCAATACACTAAAATCTGACCGGATGCCACGCATTTCCCTCTTGCAATCGCAAGAAGCCAAAAGATTTCTGGAAGAATTTATTTTTTTTTCTCGTCTGCTATTTGTGTTTTGTCGAAGTATCCGACAGCTTGTCAAGTTCAAATTCTTCAAGCTTATATATTCGGTGTGAATTTTTGCTCTTTTCTCAATAAGCGCGATAACTGTCAGCCCATGTATTAATAGGGATGATAGGCTCTCTGCGGCACACACACAAAAATAATAAATAAAAATCCAATATCGTGATTATGAATGTCTTTTTTTGATACACACAATTCAATGCATATCGCACAATTGTAAATTCTCTATCAATTTTGTAGCATTGAAAACTTCTTTGAAATAATTTAAATCACAAAATACGCAAATTTTAGTGAAAGCGTTTAGTTTTATGATATAAATACAGATTATGCAACCCGCTTCTATCAAGCGTTACGCAGGTTGCATAAATAACGAGTTTACAAAGATGCAATTATAGAATGATAGATTTAAAAATTGTTAACCATATTTGCACTGCTTTAAAATCAAAATTACTTTTACATAAAAATCAATTTTGATTTATAAATCCAAATATTTAAGAAAAGTCTTTTTTTATTGGTTCCCTATTGACAACATTTAATTATTTTAAATTAATCTTAAGTTATATTTAGGTACTTATTCATATGATTTTCTTATTTTTATTAATTTATTATACTTCAAGATATGATTTTTGAAGTTGAGCAAAAAAAAACTTTTGATAATTCAAATAAATATTTATTTAAAATTGTTATGATTTTTTTATTTTTTTGTATGCGTTAATAAAAGGCAGTAAAGGCTGAAGGCTGAATAAAAGTATCTTCGGAAATAGAAAGGATGAAAAGGATGTGTTTTTTATTAATGGTCTTTACTTCTTTACAAGTATGATTAACTTTGAATAAGAAGATATCCCTGCAATTATTTACTTTTTCTTGTAGCTTATTATCTACTCTTTTTTCTAACTTTATATAATGATATAAACTTTCATATCATTAATTTACTGAATTATTTTTCAGATTAAATTGCTCACTCCACAATGGTGCCCGTCCAGCAAGTCGAGAATCCAGTTCGTCACATGCGCGCCGTCGAAACGCTGCAGCGGCTTCGCAATGAGAACAAGCGCCTGCGCGAGTTAATTGCGTGCGACCCGAAGCGGTTTGCGTCCGTCTACTGTCCAGAAGACTCCGTCCTGGTCAACCTGGCCTTCATGGGGGCGCCGCTGACTGCGAAAAGCGGCAGCCCTCTGTACACAGAGGTGGCCCCAGAGTCATAGTAGACTTAAATTGTATATTCTACGAAGAGAGAAAATTTTGGCGCGCCGAGGCTAATTGAGAGGGCAAACAAGCTCAATTGACGCCGCGGAGGAGATGTGCCAAATTTACAAAAGCTCTCTCACACTTTCGCTGTTAATCGCTTGATCAAACAGCAAATTAGTCACGACCCTATAAGTAATAATTTTACGACCGCCAGCTCTCGCCTCTAGCTTTATTTTCCTACCATTGGTGCTAAAATTGCTACTTGTGGCGGAGAATTTATAACAGGCGCGTCCAGAATGTTATCTCACTGAATTCAGTGGCTCAACCTGTTTTGTTATAATTTTCGCCAGTGAAACGCCAAAATTGCATCATTTTTAATGATCACTAGTCGCTTTTATGTTAAATGTATTAATTCTAACGAACTCTCAAGTCATTTTTACTCTGCAGTGTCGTTTTTATCTTTTAATTGTTTTGCATAAGCAGATTTTAACGTGGACAAAGTGTTGCATTTTAATCCAGGCCGTTTAGCCGCAGTGCGACGCTAATGTGAAACGCTGCATTATTTTGCATTTTTATCAACACCTTGCACACACTGAACCACTAATGTTCCGGATTAGCCAAATAATAAACCAGTCAATGCAGTTTTTTATCTCACCGCGTGGACAGAGCTGCATTGTTAATGTGAAAAATCCTATTATCGCACCCACTGCGTTTATAGCATTGGACAAAATATATATTATGCATTATTTGTTGCCTGCAGTATTGCCATAATTTTAATAAATGTGTATGTGTAATCATCCAATAATAAAACCTACATTTAATAAAAAAAAGCAAAAACAAATAAATAAATGTTTTGTTGCAAGTTGCAAATCACCTCGGCACAGTTCCAAGTGAAGGAAAATTATTTCTACAATCAGAAGTTTCTCTAATACCATATGGGGGAGTACAACTATGACTGAAGTGCTTTTGCAATAAATCACCACACAAATGGAACGTCTCATTTGTCTTTTCTCAGACACAAAAAGTCTGCGTCTCTTTTGACGAATTAATTGCAATCTAGTTGTGTCAAACTTTTTCTAATTTATTTCTCTACAGCTCTGCAAAAAAAATTGTGTTTCTTGTTGCTGGCTCTCGAAATCCGCTGACAGAAAAAAAAACGAAACGAGGCTTGTCTGATGTGAGCGGAGCACTTTTTGCCATAAAATATGCAAATAAATTAACTCGCAGAGATGAGAGCCAGGGTGTAATTTTTCACTTAATTGTTACCTGCAGGAGCTGCGCCGGACACTTCGACGTACAGGTTTTCCGCTTGACCTTCAAGCAGAGTCATTTCACAATTAAGCAGAATGAACGCTCAGCAGCTTCTTTGAAAATTGTCAAATTTGAAATAATTAATTACACATTAATTTCAAATACTTGCAGAATTATCTCAGTCTATACATACAGAGTTTGGAATTGATCATGAAAAAAATCAATTCATTATTAAATTTTGAAGAGAAAAATCGACTATTTTACAAATTTGTTGGAAAATATGCACCTCTATATATATTACCTTTGTCCTAGAATATTAAAAAAAAATTTATAATACGTAATTCTATACAATTAAGTTTTTAAAAATATATTAATTTAATAAATTAGCAAAAATATTAATTGTTGTTAAATAAAAAAAAATATATAAGAGCACTTTTATCAATCATTATAAATAAAAAATGCAAATGAATCACTTTAAATTTATTCAATTTGTTTGTAAGTAAATTAATTGGCAAAGCCTTTGCATTGAATAAGGCAATAAAACATCTTGTCTCTTTACTGCACAGAGAGAAATAAATTTTTGCCAAGTTGCGCGAGAGAGGCGGCGGGCGTCGAGTTAACACCGAGCCAGCAGACCGGAATTGCATTCTTCTTTGCTCTTTCCCTTGCGATTTGCTGCTGCACGTTTGTGTGCTGCTGCCGGAGTGCAAAGAGAGTCGAAATAAAACGTGGCAATTGCTGCGGTCTGTGCATGAGGTGACTTATTCCTGCCTGCGAGCAACGTGGCTAAAATATCGATCTCGCGTCGCCGTCTTTTATCTCGCACCCGAGCAGTCTTTTATCTCTCTCTGTGGCGTTTTTTAGCTGCTGCTGCTGCGCCCTTTGAATGGAAAAGGGTTAGAGACGTGAGCCCCGCCAGATAAATATATGAATGGATGTGCACTGAATTTGTATTACGTGTGCGCTGCATGTCAGATGCGGCTACTTTCGGATTCAAAAGTCACCTCTCGCGCCACCAATCGCTGCTGAGAGATGCTCTTTTCACTCCTCGGCTCCAAACGATTACACGGAATAAAATAAAAGTCTCCCTTTCTTTCAATTCAAGAGCCAAAAGGAGCAGCTGGGCATTTTTGTTTTTACAAAAAAATATTTCCCAAGCAAAATCGAAAGAGATGTTCTTGAACAATAAATCAGTGCAGCTGTTTTTTTTTAAGTAACTGCCGGTGATTTCTGATTTCCGAATGGCACTAATAACAGATCATTTGCATATTGCGGAGGTTCACGGAAAATTATTGCTTATCGCTTCTTTCATTCATATAACTCTCCGCAAGAAAATAAAACATTCGTTGGGATTTTCTTGTGAATTATGTGGAATTAAAATGCTTTCAAAAGTTGAAGCGTCATTATAACTTTTAATGTTTAAGGACTCTCTGGGTGTAAAATTTTGACAGCCTGACAAAATTATGGGTCAAGTTTTTACTTCCTGAGGGGCTATGCGGCATGTTTAAGACAATAGGCAGTTCAATTTCCATGATTGCCCCCGAGCGAAAATCCTGCGCCTCTTTTCTCGCTGCCGCCTTAGAAAAATCTCATCTCTAAACTTTTGTACAAAAGAAAAGCTCCGTGTAAAAAATGAGACAGAGACTAAAAAAAACACGAGATATAACTTGATTCAGAGGTTTTAGTGTCCCTTGTCTCTTACCGCTACATTGTGTTTTTTATGCTAATGAAAACATTATTTCTACGAAACTCTTTGACATGAGAGCGCTTCTTTTAATCTGGTGTCTTTATTTATAAATTTTTAATTAAACATTCTAATTAATTTTCCAGCTCATTGGCTCCGATACAGATTAACCCACGGAATTTAATCGGAGCAGCAAAGAGACTGGTTTTGGAGACGCGGCGAAAATGTATCGCATGGGAACCCACCTGTTTGTGCTGCCGAGTATAATATTAATCATGTCGCGGCGGCAAGGATTTCTGCAAAAAACACATCAACAACTATGCGGTCTGCGGTGGTGTTTTCTGGTGAAGCAATAAATATATATCTCAGCAGACTCTGATTGTACGCGACCGAGGAAGTCACGAAGTGTGCTGCGCGTTTTCAATGTGCCTCCTTATTTAGAGCATCGCTTCTAATTAATTACGGCACAAATTTGCTCGCAGTGCGCGTGTTTTATATTTTTGTATTCAGCCGCGAGCTTTCTTAAAGGATTCCACGTAGAGATGAGCGTTAACTCTCAGGTTGTAACTTCACCACAGCTCGGCCACTTTTTCTTTACATAAATGCAGATGATGAAATAAGTGAATAAAATGAGGGCAATTTTAACTCATGGTTATTTGTTAAGTGCTCAGCAAATTAAAATAACTTTATAACAAGATCATATCATGAGCTGAATTTAAAAGAGATCTCTAGCCAGAAATAATAAATATATTATAAAAAATTTAATGTTATCAATAATTAATTTTTAAATTTTTAACTTTTGTTGTATGACATGAAATTTTATTTGCTTTTGTAAAATAACATAAAATAATTAAAAGAAAAAACTGCAAAATGTGGAAAATTGTTGTCTGAAGAAAATGGCAATACTTATAAATTTTTACAAGCTGTCGCGTTGTTAAGTCAGTTTTGTGACAAATCATTGTTCCATCAAGAAGTTTTTAACTGAAGAAGTATTCCCGCATTCCAATCATACTCGATAAGCGATAAATTTTTTCATTTATCTCATTGTAGTCAACCTTGGAGCAGGTGTGCTCTGTATCTTTTTTTTATTCAATTATATTATTTTCCTTATCAGGGTGCGAGTCTCGTGAATCGGAAATTCGGCGGCGGCGGAGGCCGAGGAGGAGGAGCCTGCGGTGGGTCGCGGGAGGGTCCGCCGGCGGATCGAGAGCGCGGCGCGCAGACCCCGCGTGGATTGTGCCTCTCCGCGCGCGGTCCAAAGGCAGCAGTCGTCGTCAGTCAGTGAGTGTTGGGACGCGGAGTGCGTCGCTCACGTGTGCGTGTGATGCCCGAGTGAGCACCATGCGAGCTTTGCTACTGCTGTTGCTGGCCGCCTCCGCGACGGCCTCCTCGGCTGCCTCCGACTCGTACCTCTCCAAGCTGTTCCAGGACGGCCCTGCCGACCCCTGCTACGAGGACAATGCCCAACTCCGGCCCAAGAGATGCATTCCGGACTTCGTCAATGCCGCCTTCCGACGCAACGTACTCGCCTCCAGCACCTGCGGCCTCCAGCCCACCAGGTAAGGCCATCCTCGCAGTCCAACATTTACAGATTATGCTCTCGATTATATCACCTTATTTAATGTACTGATAGTTCATAATATTGCAGTTTACCATGTAAAATGCACCTTCATCATTATTTTTTACGATTCCCAAATTGAATGTAATCATTATATTACATTCATTCTGTCAACTTAATTAAAATTCCTATTAATTTTAAATTGTTGAGAACACAGAAGCAGGTTAAAAATAAATACCTGGAAGGCTAATCACTATATATATACACATTGCAAAAAAATTATAAATTATTTGTATTCACACCATTTTTTTTTAATGAAACGAGTATAGAGAGTAGTGCATTTGAAGACAATTTTTTGAATAAATGTGCTTAAAATTAAGTCGAATTAAATTAATGTACATCTTTATGTTTTTTGCTTAATTTAATGAAGCGCTGCAAACTGCTGTAAATAGTGAAGTCCAAAATTGAAGTTTAATATAAATTAAATGGAAGTATTTTCTTCTTATTGTTAGTATTTCTTGTAAAAAAAAGTTAACTTAATAATTTAATTGAATTTAAAGTAAATTTAATATATTTCAGATAATTTTTTTAATACTTAATATTAATTTTAAAATATATTTATTCCTTTAATATGCATATTGAGTTTTTGGTAATCCTGGTTTGCTAATTATCATTGAATTATCTTTAGTTTTGCTATGCCAAAATAATTTTTTAAATAATATATTACAATTTGAAACTTATTTATAAAATCCCCAAACTGAAAGAAGTAATCATTTTAAGGTTTGAAAATTTATTTTATTGTGCTTTGTGGTTATGTTTCACATTAATGTGTTGAATGATCCGTGAAAATTTTGAAAGCTGAACTGACTTCATTATAATTTAAAACCTTAAAAACATATACTATATATGGATATTGCTATCCATTTTAAAATAAACGATTTGAAGTTCAACCCAATTTACTCGTAAATGCGCTAATTTGAAAAAAATTGATGAAATATTTTGGTAGTAATTTTAGAAATTAATATTTATATATCTATCAAAATAGTCTCAATTGATTGAATATTTTCATTTAATTAAAAGTGATTAACAGCAGGAGAGAACCTCATATGGAATTAATTTGAATTCAATGAAACAGGCTGCAAACAATACACTTTGGTTTACACGGAAGCCGATGGGATAATTTCCAATTGTCCATTTACCGCGGGCGATGCAATTTTCCGCCCTGCGTTCAACCGCAGTTACAAAAACCCATAACAGCTGGGTGAGCAAAAGTTTTGTTGTTTTCCACTTGGCCGATTCCTTCGATATTCAACACAATAATAATTGTGTGTGTGTGCGCGCTGATTGTATAACAGCAATTGCGCGTATTGAATTTCAGCGAGCGTGCGTGTGTTGAGTTGAGCGCCGCGCGCGTATAATATAAATTACGCGCATTCCAAGCAGAACAATATAATTACAGTATAGGAGCTGGAAAACGGAGCAGACAGAATATCTTATAGATTTATTATTTGTTTGTTGTATAGTGCGGGGAACAAAAAAGAACCGAGAAAAAATGAAATGAAGCACCGGGCAAATTGCATTACTTCTGCAGATGCTTTTGTTTCGTTTTGCCCCCAGGAAGTAGCGCGGCGTTTTTCCTACCGACGGAGAGAAAACTGTTTGATCAGTTGATTTGAGGGGCGGGGAAATCGGCGAATAACAAATACGAAATAATTTTGCTCAATATATAAACAGGGCGAACTGCATTCAGCTTTATTTATATTCCGAAAGAGTCGAAACCAAATATACAAAGGAGGAAAAAAGTATAAGAAGTTGATTCGAACGAGAGCGCATTCCCAGTCCTTTATTTTCCCTTTTTTTAATCATTATATTTTTGGTCCCCTTGTTGACATTTAAATCACGTACGGACGAGTCAACTTGATCTCTTGGCGTCGCTCCTCGCTCTGCCTGCTCTCGATTTTTTTTATACGAACGTAAACTTCCTATTTTCCGGACGATTTATAGAAAAAAGTTCGCTCGTTTGAATAAATTCCCGGCTCTCACTTTTCCGGGCCAATAAATTTCGGATTTGCCGGCGCTCCCCGGGGACAAAAATCAATTCTAGATTACTGTCAATAAAAGAAGGAAGAATCTAAGCTAGTGTAGCGCCGGCTCTCCATACTCGCACTCGGCATAACCCGGAAAAGTATATAGATGGATTTTCTTGCGGAGATGTCACGCGAATCGATCATGTGCCTGCAATTCGGAAAGAAAGACGCGAGCCGGCAAATAAAATGGAACAGCGGCCGTAAAACGTGAGAGAGACGCGCCGCTCTTCCCTTTTTTTCCAGCCGGAATTGGTACAATCCCTCTTGTGTTTTATTCCCTTTTGAGCAGACATTCCGCTTTTGATGCTTGATGCTGAGAGCAAGCAAGAAGACGTAAGAAATATAGGCCACTTCAACAAACCGTGTGACACGGACTGGTTCTCCAGCAATTTTGCAAATTGAAAGTAGCGAGCCAAAGCCAAAAGTGGAGTGAGAAAAAAAAGCACGTTTCAATTTTTTTCATATAAACTATATTTTGTTAACTCAAATTGACTCAGTTGTTAAAATTGTTGAGGTAATTGGTTTTTTTAATTTAAAATTTAATTCCATTTTCTTCAATGAAAATAAAACAATGCATTATTTACAATTAGATTGAAAGTAAATTGCTTTATTCAAATTGGTTCACCATTATACGCAATCAAATAATGCAAACCCAACAGATGTTTACCACCTTGACAAATTACTATGCGCACGTCTCACTGACTGAAAAGAAAAAAATTTGTATCTGCGGCTTTGTATGTGTTGCTGCTACTGCGTGTGTTACATTTTCACTTTTATATCCCGAGGGAAATCAAGATTGACTGACCTCTGTACAGTCGACAATCGAGAAGTGGAAACTGCGCTCGCGAGTCTCGAGACGAAGAAATCCGCCTCAATTTCAGTCTGGAAGTATAAATAGGAAATTTCAGGCCCTAAAGCTTTTCGATTGTTACAAGAGAAAAAAATGCCATAAAAACTTGCGATCGATAGCAATTTCTGCGAGAAAACACGCCCCGGCGCAACTTTATGCTTGATTCAACGCGACGTGCTCTTTCATGTGAACTAATGCCAATTAATTGATAGGGACCGCTCTCTCTCCAAAAACTCTCCGAAAAATAAGCTGGGGAAAGAGCATTATCTGGAAAATAATGAAGCTACAAAGCATCATCGAAAGTCAAACACTTTTCGGTGTATTATTTATATAAAACTGTATAAAATATATGGCGCCCTAGCTCTTTGCTATGGCAGATGTATTTACGCGGTCTAATCCCAATTTATGGGCCATTTACTCCCTGCTGTACGTGTTTGTGTTCGGACCGAGGGCAAAGTAAATTTTTATTGCATATTCCTGTCATGCCACATTAATTTACTTCTATTTTCCTTGATCCTTTCAAATAAATGCTGTTCGCGCAGAAGCTGGATGAATGTGTACAAAGGGAGATCTAGCGAGCTGCAGACTTGTGGGACTGAAAATCAAATAAATAAGCCGCCAATCTACTTGGTCGTGGGTCGTACTCCGGCAGACTAAGCAAAAGGCTGCAGACTGTTTGCGATTCGCAAGTTTCTATGCCACAGTGTATAAGTTGCTGTGGTTGCGCCGAGTCTTTCAGACTTTGCAATTTATCCGACAAGTCTAGCCCAAACAACAAATTTTATACGGCGGAAACTTCAGAAATTCTGACTGTTATTTCAGTTACGACAAAACTCAATAACACAACAAACAGGTTCATTTATCCAAGGTCTTTTCACTGGTATAGTAAACAAGGGATTAATGAGTTATAATGTTTTATGCTTCATCTGGGTGCAACGGTTAATAAATTTAAATTATTAAAAATTATGCATTTAATACTCTTTTTAATTTTTGATGTAATACTAACAATAAATTAATTTTAAAATTTATTTAAAAATAAAATGATTAATTATTTATTTACTTTACTTGTTTTATTGAACAACTGAGCGTTAAATACCATTTCAATAATAAATTTGTATTTTTAATTTAAAAAAAAGAGTTCATGTTACAACTTAAAGCTAATTTATTTTAGAATAATTAATTTTAGGGTTAGGGGTAGTCATTTTCAGTTGTTGTTAATGAATTTTATGCTGCATGTTAAAATTTAAAACAAGATTAACAAGGAAGAAAAAATATTTATGTATTTTCGTTATCATGAGAATATAATTCACATAATTCATTGATATACAAACAAGAATATAGCAAAGCAAAGTAAAAACACTAAGCATATTATAATTTCCAAATTCCCAATCTTGCTCATTTTTCCCAATATTTTGAAACAACTGATTTATATCAAATTTTAGACGTCTTTTAATTATTATTTAGAAAAATTTTGCTTATTTTTGGATACTGCAAACATTTTAACATTATAAATAATGCCAAAATCTTGGCAAGAGAATTGACATGTTAACTAAAGCTTCAAGTTGAAAAATAAATTAAAATTTATCCTGATTTATCTTTATAATTTCAACAATATTTTTCAGTGTTTCATCTAATAGAAAAAGTGCACCAGTTTAACTTTCTTGCTCTGCGTGTTATGCTGATCACAAAAAGCAATTTTACCTAACCCATAATCAACCCCAATAAAACGCTGGCTCGTTTTGCCCGCAGGTACTGCGAGCCGTCAGGTGGTAAAAACGAAGGCTGCCACATTTGCGACGGGAGTCAGCCCAAGCTGGCACACCCGCCCTACTACCTGACCGACCTGAACAACCCCAACAACCTGACGTGCTGGCGCTCGGAGCCGATGCAGCCGCACCCTCAGGGCTACCAGGACAACGTGACCCTGGTCCTGTCGCTGGAAAAGACGTACGAGCTGACGTACATCAGTCTGCAGTTCTGCTCGCGCCGCTTCAAGCCCGACTCGATGGCCATTTACAAGAGCGTCGACTACGGCAACACGTGGCAGGCCTTCCAGTTCTACTCGTCGTCGTGTCGCAAGGACTACGGCAAACCCCCGCGCGCCACCATCACCAAGGCCAACGAGCAGGAGGCCCTGTGCATGGACGCGCACCGCGGCGACCTCGGCACCAACAACATCGGCGCCAGGATCGCCTTCAGCACCCTCGAGGGACGCCCGAGTGCGGCTGACTTCGACAGCAGTCCCGTTTTGCAGGTCAGTAGTGTTCAAGTTGGGTGGTCTTTACATTTAAACGCGAGGATTTCTAATTGGATTTGTTTCTGTCATTCCATTTGGTCAGAGATTTGAAGGGAGAAGCGCAGCAATTTAATTCAATTGAAAAGAATTTCCAACTATTTTATGACTCAGCCACTTTTTTTAGCTAACTTTAATGTAAATTTGCGGATACATTAGTTATGATTTGGAAATGTGTGGCAAAAACAGCATGGTATGAATTTCTTCTTTATTGATTTCCGCTCTCTTTTTTTTTATAAATTTCTTCGATTTGTTTAATGTAATACGGCAGAAATAAGTCGAGAAACTCTATGTGCAACAAAAATATTTAAGAAAAATTGTCTATTTCAATTATTAAAAAAGGAGAGGCCTTCTAACATGTGATAAATTTGACCTTTCAAGTTACATGTTGAGTAATTGAATTTATTCCAAAAGGATTCATTTGATATTCTGTATTGATGAACTTCTTTGAATGCGCATCTCCCGTCAAGATCTCTAATTCCACTTTCGGTTTATGGCTACATTTGCGTTTATTAACTCCTAATGAGCAAACTTTGCCAAGGGTCTATTATCCAGTCGGGGAAATCTGCTATTATATTGAAATGAACCACTAATGCAAACTGTCTGAAGTAAATTTCCAAAGATGCTGTGTGCTTAATTCAAATCAAATAATGAATATGAAGACGGTGGATGATCCCTGTTTAGGAAATTTTTAATATTTTTGCCAGTTACAAAACAATGTTTTATGCTACAAAATTCATTGCATTTTAATTATTAAAAATTATTACTGCATCTTCCTCCAGCTATCCAGCTACAAAACAAACAGTTAAATTAACATTGCCTCTAGAAAAAAATGACAAATTCAAAACAGACTTTCCAGTTTTATAATCAATTTCGTCAGCAGCTCGAGTATAAACTTCTCTACTTTCCCCTAGGCGCTTTCCCATAAACACGCATCTTGACAATTTTCCACGTACACACCAAGATAAATTCGCGATAACATCTCCAAGTTACATCGTTTAAACATATGCTGGCTGCGAAAGCAAATCCTGCCGCTCTGTGCATGGTATCTGAAAGTCTGTTTTACGCGCGCAAGCAGGTCTTCTCTCTCGCTCGACTCGATCTTTATGGCCCGGCAGCATCTCCATATGGCTTCGAGCCGGCTCCGGAGCTCTCCAAAAAAGGAGTTCGGGTCACAAAGGGCTCAAAATTTGCAGCCTATAATCCGTGCGTGCATTGTGCCATCTTTGCGTGGCGCGTGAAAATAGTAATGACTAGATTATGAGATTTATTGCGGAGGAAAAGCCGGCTTGAGAGGAGATAAGTTTTACGAGACAAAATTAAAGCGTGATAAATTAAGTTTTAATAGCAGAGCTATAAGCGGATAGACCCAAGGAAGAATTTTTACCTTTGATTTTTTCGCCACTTTTTAACATTTGCATTAAAATTCAAGGACTGGGTAACAGCAACGGACATCAAAGTGGTGTTCAACCGGCTGCATCCCCCGCAAGCCGCCCCCGAACCCACCCCCGACGAAGCTCTGAGCACCAACCTGCTCACCCCGCTGAATGAAACCGAGCAGACCGGCATCGAGCACTTCAACTACCACTACGCCGTGTCCGATCTGGCCGTCGGTGGCCGCTGCAAATGCAACGGCCACGCGTCCAAGTGCATGCCCTCGGCCAGGGACAACGGCCAGCTCGTTTGCGACTGCAGACACAACACGGCCGGACGCGACTGCGAGAAGTGCAAGCCGTTCCACTTCGACCGACCCTGGGGAAGGGCCACCCTGAAGGACGCCAACGAGTGCAGGGGTGAGTACCATTTTTGTTTGTGCTTTTATGAACATCGTGATTGTTTTGTAGGGTGCAAAAGAAGAATATAAAATAAGTCTAAAGAAAAATGTTAATATTTTTATACAAGGTTTTTTTTATTTAAATAACTTATATATTTTTTTTCTTGATTCTAAAAGTTTAAAGTTTTTATAAACAAAAATATTAAAACATTTTAAAATTTTATTTTTATTATAAAATTATGATATAAAACAATTATAATTTTAAAGTATTTTCCTAGTTTATATCACTGACTTAGATTTAGACATGATTTATTTCAAACAATTTCTGTTATAAATTGTTTGTGTCACAAACAATGTGCAGGCTTAATAGTCCCAATTGAAAAATTAATATGAACTAAATATTTTATGCCATTCTTTTATTGCTGATGATAAGATATTAATAAATAATAAATTTTTGTTTTTGGGGTGAAATAACCCTGTCGAGGGCTGGATCAGGGTGATATAAATTTTGATTCCGCTGCTTTTCCGTGATTGGTTTTTAGAGTTGTTTAATTTTTTAAGAGGAAGCCAGAGCAGGTTTTTGTTTTTCTCGTAAACAATAAACAAAAACCATCAAGGAAAAGCCGATTTTATTATTCTAATTTCCATGAGATGCTCAAAAATTATCTCGACTTATTGTCATCTAAACACAAAAGTAATTTCACAATCATTGAATTGTATTTTTTTTTTTTTAACAATTTGTATTGTTTGATTAGACATATCTGCTACAAACAACCATCCTCGAATTTTCCTTTTTTTTCTCACGAGTGTGTTTGCATGATACATCCACTTTATGTGTGTACATCGCCGCCGCGAACACGTATATTTTATACCACAGAGATAAACGCTCTCGCGCGGTGGAAAAAACCTCCCCTCGCGCTCTCGGCAGCGGCGCGTCGTCAGGTGCTCAATAAATATTTCAAGCGCGCGTTTTCAACAGTTTCTCACAAAATAATAGTAATAATAAAGCCAAAGGGGCAGCCGTGCCGGGCCGACATTCCTCTCAATTAAAGGCGGCGAGGAGGAACAACACGGCGTTTTTCACGCCCATATAAACTGGCTGCTATTTTTCGTATCTCACAACTCACTAATTGAGGCGAAGTGTGAACAAACGAGCAGCACGTCCAAACTCGGGAATCCGAATCAATTTGGTCGGCGGAGCAAATAACTGCGTGTGTAATATGTTATCGCGAGGGTTAATTAATATTTCAGGCCCGAGGGGTGGGTTTGTGCCGCGCCAGGAATCTCATTAATTATAACTGCTCGCCCGATTCGCACGCCCGCCGCCGCCGCCACCGCTTTTATCAATAAAGCCCTTAATTCCGAACGGATGCTCAAAAGGAGTCGCGCGCTTTGATCAAAATTATGCACCTGGAAGAGAGAAACTCATGGCTCGTCGGTCTAATGATAACGCACCCTAATGAGGCCTCCCTCCTCTCTCCATCAGATAATTATGCTGCACCTGAATATTATTGCCGTAATATACCGAAAGCAAAAGCCCGACTCGTCCGCGTCGTAAACCGTGCAAAACGGCGCTGCCCTTTCAGTTTGTCCTGCCGGCAGACATAATTTTCACGGTCAATTTATCACTCGGCGGCGATGCGTGGCTTCTCACAGCCGACAACCTGCACGCTCTTAGGCTGATTGTCCCTAGTCTGAAAGGTGATAAAAATGCCATAAATATCAACAGATTGAAGTGAAAATTTTAGTTAATATTATTTAGTAAATAATACTAAAATTTAATTAAAAAAGATTACATCTAATTTTGACATTAAACTTTTTGTTTGTTATTTAATTTAAAGTAATAATACCATTTTATATATAAATTAAAAATAATTGTTTTTATTTATAATATTTTTTTATTAATATAAAGTTCTAGAAAGAAGTTTCATTGAAATTTAAATTTTGTCAATTTTGTTTGCTACATATAATTTTTTTTATAAATTATGACCTCTCAACATAGAGTAGATCCATAAATGCAAATTCTCTGGTTATCTGACCATCCGTGTTATTGCGTGATAATATATAGCAGAATATATGTATAAATCAGAATTGAATTGAAAGATGTAGAATAAAAAGCAAAAGTTGAGATCAGAAATTGATTTTGGTAATGTACATCTAAGTCTACATAGAGCAAAATAATACTTCCATGCGCTCTTTGCAAATATTTAAACTGGATAGTGATGTAAGGGATGAATCCAATTTTGAGCATTTAGTTGATATTTCCAGCAACGATTGTTAAAATAGAAAAAATAATTTTCATGTGTTCAACATCATGCATTTGTTTGGAGGCTTTCTCAAAAAATATTTTTTACTCATTCAGAATAATGATAAAAAAAAAAAAAACATGCATGGATTAATGGACAAGTTCTGAATCTTCAAACCAGATGTGCCCATGGCCAGCCAGCATTCTTATAAAAATCCTATACAAAATTTGAATGTTAAAAAAATTTTGAGTTAAAAACGTCAGTGTCTGTGTGCTTGAAAGGCGGATTTAAGGATTTGGTTGGCCAGCAAGTGCGTGGCACGCAGATTCCCAGATTCACTCACAGTCCCTTGACAGCGAAAGGGAAATAAAGAGAGACAGACAGACGCGCGGCGCACACCACAAGTTTTGTTTGGCTTGTCGTGGTCGGCGACGCTGCTGGGAGGAAAAGCGGCTTCTGCTTTTCTTTCACTCTCGTCGAGAGGAGCATTTTCTCATGCGAGTGTGCAGAAAGCACATGAGAGTCGTTGGCGGCGGCGTCATTCAAATCGTCAACACGAGCCTGTAATGACATTTCACGCTGCTTTGACTCGCGCAAAAGGATACAGTTTGCATAAAAAGCAAACCACGGCAAAGGAAAAATGGCTGGAAATTTTAGAGTCATGAGCCCCTTGAGCAAGAATTCTTTTTGAAATATAAAATGACTGATGACAAAGATTTCCATTAAATTTCACGAAAAACGTAGATATTGAAAGATAAATCAGGCAAAAGCCTGTTCTATGTTGAACTTTATAAAGAAATTTAAATGATAATTATACACTATTTTTAGATTCGCATTTCTGCCGCGCTATTTTCTACTTCTACAGTATAATAAAATTTAATTTAATAACTCATATCAAATTAATTATTTTCGTAGCGAAGAATAGTTGAAAAGTTTTCAACATTTTAATTGCCAATTAATTTTACAGTAATCTAATAACAATTTTTGAATTTATGAAACAATCAATTAGATCTTAGCCGTTGATGTGTTAGCATTTTTCCTGTATTTTTTAGAAACTTAAATTTTATTTTTTCATTGAAAATTTCATGTGTTATAAATTTTGTTAATTATAATTTGCTTATATACATCGGATAAAAATTTGATAAATATTTTTAAATCAAATTCTCTGTATCGAACCAAAAAATTTAGACAAATTCTCGTGACACTTCGCTTTAAATTTTAGCTGCCAAATTTTCAAGCTGAATAGTTGATGATTGCAAAAGTAAACGTTGCGTTTGGTGCTGAAAAAGGTGGAGACAGGGTCTGAGCGCCTAAATGGATTTGTCACCCAAACGCACAGGGGCTGCGAACGCAGCGTGGAAATAAAATTTCTGCTGAATAGAAGCGCGAGCTGGGGATTCGGCTTTGATGTTTTGGCTCGTCAAGAGCTGCTGCCGCACGCAAAAATGTGAAAACAGCACTCGGCTCGCCGTCTCTCTCCCGCGGTGCGGCATTTAAATAAATACCTGTGTGCGCGCTGCTATTTCCCTCTTTCTCTCACCCGTCTCTCGCGAATTTTTTCGCACATATTTGCCATTCTGGCGGCAAATTTTCGGCTCAAATCTGCACGTTAATGATCAAAATAATGAAACGCCGTTCCAAATATTTGCTTTGTGCTGCATAATGCTGGCTTATAGGCTGAAAAAAAATCTGTCTCGCTTTTTACGGTTATTATTCTTAATTATTCAATTATTTTATGTACATTCTTTCTAATTTATTACATTGTTTAATATAGATTGATAGAGAGTTTATAAATGAAAATGTTTAATTTTCCGCAATTTTGTGCGTTTGTTATGTGCGTAATTTTTTTTATTGAAAATAAAATCATCCAAGTGATTTTATATTATGATATTGTGGTGCTTGATAATGTTGATATGCAACAAAAAGTTTGTGTGATGATTATAGCGACTATAGAATGTTTTCTAAGAATTAGATGCAATAATGTAATTGAAATAATTAAATAATATACATTTCGAATAGAACATATGCTAGAACAATAATTACAATTTGCGTAATTTTCACATTACAAGATAATGTTGCAAGCAAAGAACTATTTAAAGTTTTCTTTTTGATAATATAAAATTTATTTACAAATTCATCTTATATCAACAATTATATTTCTAATGCTAAATATCAACAAAAAATATAAAATATATTAAATTTAAAATATTTTTTAAAGTTTTAAAAACAAAATATGTCTTCATTAATAAATTTACAAAAAAAAGTAATTCCAACAACATTAATTAACTTTACTTTAAACTTCTGTATATTTAATGATTTTAAATTGCACAACCTGCTACGTTCATTTTTAAATTTATTTTACATTATAATGTAACTTTGCCTTGATGGCCGTCACTCAGTTAGATGACGATGAAGGTGCTCCCTTTATTAAATTGAAATCTAAGCGAATACTTCTCTCCTCTCTTTGGCGTCCGCAAAACTTTTAGGGTCGGAAACTCTATGGCGCGTCGTCATGCGGATTCCGCCGAATTAATGAAGCTCGAATAGTTGGGACAAGATGCCGGCGCTGTAATAACAATAATATAGTTGCCGGTTTCGCTTACGCGCGTCTTATAATATGATCGCGGGTGCGGCGTTTGCCTGCGGGCGTCGGAGACTTATTAGCAAAGTTTGGCGCACAAAATGGTCCGCGAGGCCCCAAAATATGATGAATGAGCCGTGCATCTTCAGCTCGCAGCGCTCAACCCGTTACTTCATTACTTGAATTAATTCT